TGATGAAAGTTGTTGGAGCATAGCAGTGCCAAATATCCAGTGTCATGAAACCAAGGCTAAAGTCATAGATGAATCTTTTTTTCTGGAGAGTTCAATGTTTAGGCACCAGATGACTAGTGTCCTTGTGCCCATTCTAGTGTCATAGTGTATAATGTCAATGCCACGGTGCTTTATCGAACAATGACAAGTTTAGTGGATAAGATGGATCTAGAGCCATAGTGTCACGATCTTCAACACCACGCTATTATTGATGAATAACCTCAAGGAAAAAAAGATAGAGAAGATAAAGTTTTCATGTCATTATCCAAAGCCTTAAAGCTGCACAACAGTGCCACAACACAGTAATTGTGGAGCCACTGCGTAACGACCCCATTTTAATAATTATTGAAGGCCAAATTTGAAATTTTTGGAGGGGGAGGGGTTATATGTGCATCATCATTTTGAGGAGGGAAGGAGAGATAATGGTGATATTTTAGCAAGTATTCTACGGTGTAAGGTGTGGATCTTGTAATTTGAGAGTTTTATAGTATTATCAATTGTACTTATGGAGCAAGGGGGAGGAATTAAGTGGAAAGCTTAAGGGAATGCTACAAAAACTAGGTTTTATCATTTCTTTTCTATTCTTTTTTTTGAATCACACTTTGTAAACACTTTTCTAGATTCTGGAATGGATTCTTTTTTTATTTGTAATTTTATGTTAGGCTAAACTCCTTACTTCCTATGGATATCTTTTTCATTAAAATCAATGAAATGAATTAAGTTTACTATTTTGAGACTATTAAATAAAATTTAAAATTATTGGAGAATCATCAACCTCATTTAGTGAATCTTAATGGTCATACTTATTTTATTACTTTATGTGGGTTTGTGACATCAATGAAATCCTCACTTGCAAATGATGATTCTTAACAATGATTTAGCATTTAGTGAATCTTAATGGTCATACTTATTTTATTCCTTTATGTGGGTTTGTGACATCAATGAAATCTCACTTGCAAATGATGATTCTTAACAATGATTTAAGGATACAAACTTTTTATCCTTGAATTTTTGTTATTAATAGAGAGACACAATTATTCCATTTTTGAAATGTCTATCAGCATAGGCAAATGACTTAGGGTTTTAAAAATGAGTCTTTTGTTTGCTATCGATAGACGCCTATAATCATAGATGCTCCTAATTTACAACATACATTAGTTAAACTTTTTCATCGCTTTGATTTTATGAAGTAGAATTCATAGGAATGTTCTCTTGCATTTGAAACTCGTCGATAGAAAAAACTTTAAGAAAAAAACCTTTTCAAATTTTTATATTTTTTTAATAGATTAAGATTTGTGACTATATATTAAATCTATATATTACTAACACAATTCATGCACTTATGTGAGTCGTTGCTTGATTGGTTAGTGCATGAAGGGTTTATGAGTGGTGGGAGAGATAATGGTGAGGTTGTCTTTTACTATATTAAGGAAGCATAATAGTCTTAAGTACATATCAAACTTGGTATATCTAAATCTTAGGAACCTAAATAAGCCATTGTTAAAACTAATTTGGACAATTTTTTAATCTCAAAATTTTATTTTATTTATTTATTTTTGGTTTTGGGTGCATTTAGACAAATCACTTTGTGGGTTCCTTAATATATTAGTTGCCCTCATGTTCAATTTAGTTTTAAATTATATTTTTCTTAAGTTAATATGTCTCACATGAACCTACATGGGTTTTATTTGATTCAAAGCACAATTAGGCTTATTTAAAATTTAACATGAGCTTGTTTCAATTAGCCACGATATGAACTATGAAGGTTCCTAACCAATTTTGAATAGATTTGGATTGGTTTTAATTTTATTTGGATCTAATGACTCAAATATGTTTAATAGTAGTTTAAGGCACTTTAAACTCAATAGGTCTCAGTAAACACGTAATTATTTTAATTATTTTTGATTTGGCCTAACAAGGCTTAATTAAATTTTGATTTGATTCAAATACATTTGACCTCGTATGACCTTAATTGTGTTAATGGAGTAAATTGACTCAACTAGTATTTTTACTTATATAAAAGGCCTAAAAAAGAGCTTCTTATGTTCTTATGCTTACTTATGATCAATTACAACTCACAACTTAAAGGGTAAATTAAATTTGGTCCAAATTATATTTAATAGTTTTTAATTGACCTCTTCACCAAGATATATTGATCAAGGGCATAAAGACTTTGGATTGGATGAATAGTAGCTCTTAATGCTCTTTAAACATGTTAGAATCATTAGGAACAATTTACATAAAAGATATAGTTAATTTTGATGGACTTATAAATTCAACCTAGGTTGGCTTTGTTAAATAATTTTCACCATGCCTTTTTCGCTCAAGTTAAAGTCTAGAAGAGATTTTTCGCCACTAAAATGGGCTTTAAAAAACTTGAATTAATTTGAGCACATTAGTTTGAAGGATTTATAGGTCAACTAAGACTTAACTAGGGCTTAAATGATCATAAATTGAATTAAATTCACTAGTTTTATAATAAGAAATCTATTAATATCCTAAATAAATCAAATAAGCTATGTTTAACATAACTTGATTTGAATCCTAAAGATGGAGACTCAAACTTGGGCTATCCATCCTTTATAGTCTATAGGAAACTACCAAGGGTTTTATAACGACTTATTAGTATAAGATTGAATTTTAAGAAATAAAGAAAGAGTTATAAAGAAGATTGTTAACCATATTCAACATTAGAGTAATTATTGGTCCTCCAATATGTATGGTGGATTTGCCAAGGTACACTACATGTTTTAGTGTTGATCAAAGAAGTTAACAGATTCCTATACAATTTTTTAAGTGAGAACACTCAAGAATTTGATTTAGCCTCAAATTAAGGATTTGATTAAGAGTTTATTAGGATAACAATTTTGAATTCTTTTTAATAGCTTATGATTTTATTATAGTATGGATCCACTAAAGCAAGAAATAAAAAAAGGAACTAAATTTCCCACAAGTATGCTAGCTATTAAAGATTATGCTAAAAATAGATTAAAGAAGAACTTATCTTATCTAGTCTGCCTCAAGACAAACATTTTTTTCAATTTACATGACAAAGAAAATAAGATTTAGGCTCTATGACCTCCAAAATAAGATTTATTCCTCTAAACCCCTCTTTTGCTCATTATTTCTCTCTCTACATACTCATAGGTTGGAGAATAAGTAATAATTGAAAATGCTTTATTATAAGTGAATTCATATATTTATAAGAAAATATTTCTTATAATTATTTAATTGAAGGACATAACTGTAATTATGCTATTTATTTTACTTTCATTGTGAATTTTATTTAATTTATCTTTTATCTAAAAAAATAATACTACCTTAAAATTTTTGAATGAAAACTTAACAAAATAGTACATTATGTCAAGAACATACTACTAAAAATGATTCATAAAATAGAATTCAGATGTTTACAGAAAACTTGCATTTATAAAGATGTACTAATTCTTTGAGGAAGATAAATTTAATAAGAAATTTTATAAAATTTTATACTTTTATACTTATGATTATCAAAAAAATTGGTAAAAGTTATATATAAAATAAATTTGAGAGTGTCCTATAATACATTGAAGATGATTATACATCAAATTGGATATAATTAAATTGGATTTAGTTTAATTTGAATTGCATTCAGTTAGACTCGATGGGGTTAAATTGGGACAAAATCCTAGTTTCACTTATATAGATGTCCAATCTTTATCATTTAGTTTTGAGTGCTATGATTGAACTTTAAGAGTTATTTGGTTAAATTATTTTAAATTTAGATTGAATTAAAGGCCAATTTATCCAAGATTTCTCAAACATGCTCATAATGGGCATATGAGCTCATTAGGTCAAAGTGGGTATAATTTAAGATGTATGTTATTCAACTAGATTACGAATAGCTTAAGGAGATGTTTTCCCTAACTTTATTTAGTATGTATTATATTTATAATTAATTGACTCGTGATGACCCGAACAGATCAACATGCATCTGGGATCCAAACTTATTCAATTAGAAATGGATTTTATTTGAGCATATCAAAGAGAGTTTAATATATTGCAAGGAGTCTTTATGACTAATTAGATTGCACTCTTTAAGAAAATATGATATCTCACTTAAATAGCCCTTAATGAATTTTTAATAGGCCTTTGAGTTAAAGAAGTTGACCAAGCCTTATGGTGAGCTCAACTGAGTTGAAACTTTAACCAAATGTTATTAGTTCTATTTCGAGCATACTTGCACTTGATTTAGAATGAATTTGTCTCACTTAAATAGCCCTTAATGAATTTTTAATAGGAACAAGCCTTATGGTGAGCTCAACTGAGTTGAAACTTCAACCAAATGTTATTAGTTCTATTTAGAGCATACTTGCGCTTGATTTGGAATGAATTCACTTAAATTAAGTTAAATGCCCCCTTAATGGACCACCTTATCAAATTTTACTGACCAATCTCTTAAGACCATTAGAATGGGTTGAGATTGATCCCTATTGCTATCTAAATGGATTAGAAGTATCAAGAGTCAAAAGTTTCAAAATTATAGATAGTTGAATTATCTTTTTGTTCATATTATATAATTTTTTTTTAGGTGACTTTTTGGATGTTTTAATCAAGTTTTTACAAGACAAATTCTTTTATGAATAATTACATAAAGATCACCCCAAATATTGATATCTATAATCATTTTTTGGACTATTGAATCAATATATTTATGCACGCCTCAATCAATCTAACAAGAATTTGATAAAATGGTGAGGTTTTACCATTTATTTTTATTTTTGAATGAAAAATCATGAATTTTTTTTTATTTTTTTTATTTTTAATATAATTTTTTTTTATTTTTTTATTTTTTATTTTTTTATTTTTTTTATTTTGTGAAGAGTCAAAATCTTTGATTAGTTGACTAAAAGTCAATATGGGCGGCATGAGTACCCATCATCCACTGTATCCATCACATTATCCTCACCAAATGAGTTTGACAAAATGGGCCCCACTCCTGGCCTACAGATGTCGACCGTTGCAAACTCTTCAAATCCCTCCCGCCGCCACCCCCACAAACCCCACCGCCACCGTCTCCTCAAATTTCAGAGAATGCTTCCTCTCCCCCTTCTCCTCTTCACCTTCCTAATCGTCCCCCCGGCCGCCATTGCCGCCGACGAGAAAGCCATTATCATCGACCTGAAGAAGTCCTTCCATATCCCCTCCGCCTCTTCACACTTCTTCCTCTCCTGGTCAACATCAACCGCCTCGCCCTGCAACTACTCCGGCGTATCCTGCACCACCGCCGGACTCATCTCCTCCATCGATCTCACCGGACTCGGCATCTCAGGAACCATCCCCTTCTCCCTACTCTGCTCCCTCCCCTCCCTCTCTTCCCTATCCCTCGGTTCCAATCGCTTCTCCGGCATAATCTCCCCCGCCCTTCTAAACTGCTCCAATCTCCTCCATCTCGATCTCGCATTCAACTCCCTCGTCCGCTCAGTCCCAGATCTCTCCCGTCTTTCCTCCCTGCGTGTTCTTAATCTCACCCAAAACCTCCTCTCCGGACCCTTCCCATGGCCATCCCTAGCCAACCTCACTTCCATCGAATCCCTAAGCCTCGGCGATAACTTCTTCGATCCCAGCCCCTTTCCCACTGTAATCACCACTCTCACCAAACTCAACTGGCTCTACATCTCCGTCTGCAATCTCCACGGCGAGGTCCCAACCGCAATCGGAAACCTAACCGGCCTCGTTAATCTTGAGTTCGCAGATAACTTTCTCTCCGGCGAGATCCCGCCGGAGGTCACGAAATTGAAAAATCTCTGGCAGCTGGAGCTTTACAATAACTCATTCACGGGAGAAATTCCAGTGGGATTTGGGAATCTGTCCAATCTCGCCTTCTTCGATGCGTCCATGAATCAATTGACAGGGGATCTCTCTGAACTCCGGCATTTGAGCGGCTTAGTGTCCCTCCAACTCTATTACAACAATTTCTACGGTAGCATTCCGCAGGAGTTTGGAGATTTCAGGAAATTGGTTAATCTCTCGCTTTACAATAATCAGCTCACCGGTCAAATTCCGGTGAAGCTTGGGAGCTGGGCAGAGTTTAATTTCATCGACGTGTCGAGCAACTTCCTCACGGGACCGATTCCTCCAGACATGTGTAGGATGGGGACGATGAAGAAGCTTCTGGTGCTTGATAACCAGCTCTCCGGCGAGATTCCGGCTAGCTACGCCAACTGTTCCTCTCTGATTCGGTTCAGAGTGAGTAATAACTCCCTCTCCGGCGAGGGTCCAGCCGGGATTTGGGGTCTTCCGGT